GCAGCCGGGATCCTCAGACGTGGAGATGCTGCGTGCCCGGGATATGGGGGGGACGTGCACCCGAGATTTGGGGGTGCAGGAATGAGGCGTCCTGGGATGCAGGGAGGATATGCCAAGGATGTTGGGATGCAGGGATAATGTCCTGGGATGCAGGAATGCTGTGCCTGGAATGTTGAGATGCAAGGATGATGTCCTGGAATGTTGGGATGCAGGAATGATGTCCTGGGACATTGGGATGCAGGAATGATGTGTTCCTGGGATGCAGGGATGATGTGCCAGGGATGTTGGGATGCAAGGATGATGTCCTGGGATATTGGGATGCAGGAATTATGTGTCCCTGGGATGTTGGGATGATGTCCTGGGATGTTGGGATGATGTCCTGGAATGTTTGGATGCAGGAATGATGTGTCCTGGGATACAGGGATGATATCCTGGGATGTTGGGATGCAGGGAGGATGTCCTGGGATACAGGGATGCTGTGCCCAGGATGTTGGGATGCAGGAATGATGTGTCCTGGGATACAGGGATGATGTCCTGGGATATTGGGATGCAGGAATGATGTCCTGGGATGTTGGGATGCAAGGGTGATGTGTCCCTGGGATACAGGGATGCTGTGCCCAGGATGTTGGGATGCAGGAATGATGTCCTGGGATGTTGGGATGCAGGAATGATATGTCCCTGGGATCAGGGATGATGTCCTAGGATGCAGGAATGATGTCCTGGGATGTTGGGATGCAGGAATGAGGTGTCCCTGGGATGCAGGGATGATATCCTGGGATGTTGGGATGCAGGGGTGATGTGTCCCTGGGATACAGGGATGCTGTGCCCGGGGTGTTGGGCACCAACCCCGGGCTCTGCTCTTCTGCCAGCTGCCCGTGCCCTGAAGCCAAAGGACACCCAAAGGTCCCCACATCTCCTCACCACAGAGCAGCTGCCCCTTGCTCAGGGGGTCCCTTTGCTTGCCCCAGCCCTGAGGGTCAAGCCCTGCACCCATGGGTGCCACAGAGCCCTCGGGAAGGGGGCACCCTCCAGCACCAGGACCCCGCTGAGGGGCTGCACCAGGATGTCCCCACAGACCCGTCCCCGTCCCGTGCTCTGCGAGAGCAGTCCCGGCCGTGCTGCTGTGCCAAAACCCTCTGGTTTCTGGACAGAGGAGGAGAAAAAAAAAAAAAAAAAAAAAAAAAAAAAAAAGAAAAAAATAATTAAGGGGATTTTTTTTTTATTTTTTTCCCTTTTCCGTAGTTGACTCCACGTCCAAACTTCCTGAGAGCAGCTCCAGCCCTCCCTCCGCTTCCGACGGCCGCGCTGCGCCATCCCGGCCGGCCAGGCCAGCCCAGCCCCGCGGCGGGGCCGCTGCGCCCTGACCCTGCTGCCACCGCGGCCCCGGCCAGGTGAGTGCCACCGTCCCCACCCGGGGCACCCAGGGCTGGCAGGGGCGGGCGGCACCGTGCCCCGCTGGGCGCTGTCGGAGGGGACGCTCCCCAGGGATGGCGCAGGTTCCAAGGTGAGGGGACGCTGGTGGCTGGGCGACAGCGGGCGGGGCGTGGGGCAGTGCTGCGACACCCCGGGGTGACCCCCTGCCCCTCAATGCCACCCGTGCCCCCCTCGCCCTCGCCCGGGCGCATCCCTGAGGAAACGCGTCAGAGGCCGGGCTGTGGCAGGGGAAGCGCCGGGGCAGAGATAGCGGCTGGGGGGGGACAGCAGCGGCGTGTCCCCCGCGGGGACGGGGCAGGGCCGCTCGCCTGGCCGCGCCCCACACGCTCCTTCCAGCCCCGTCACCGCCGGGATGCTTCTGGTGCCACCCGCGGGGCTCTCAGGGGTGCCGGTGGGGTGAGCAGCGCCGGCTCTTGGGGTGCCTCTCGTTTTTTGGGGGGGCTGAGCCCCGCGGCGAGGAGCAGATGGGACGTGCCGGCACGTTTGGATGACTCCTGCTTTTTCCTGCCAGCATCTCCCCGTGGTTCCTGTTTTTCCCAGCAATGCTGGGACCCCCCCCCCCGTCCCCCCAAGAAGAGGGGATGAGGCTGGGGCTGAGCTCGGGGTTCCCCTGGCTCTCCCCCACCTCGGCAGGGTCCATGGGAGGGAATTTTGGCAGCGGGTGAGCAATTAATTCCTCACTGCCGGGAGTTGAAGGGAAATGGGGGGAAACTTTCCCACTAACACTTTTTCCACCCCAAACCGGATGCTCTGGCCCCAAAACGCAGCGCGGGCTGTGCTGAGGGGGGAGGATGAACCCAGGGAGCACCTTTGGGGTGTCCTGTGGCTGGAGCAGCAAGGAAGCCCCGGGAAATCCAGCTGTGCTGAGCAGGAAACCTCTGTTTCCTCCTTGGCACACGGCTGTCCTGCCCCGAAACATCCCGGGAAACAGCCCGGGGGGCTCGGGGGTCGCGGGCCCTCCCTGCCCGGCCTCCGGCTGGAATCGCTCCCAGAGCCGCCCCGGCAGAGCCGGACCCTCTCTGGGTTGAGCAAGAAGCTGCTGGATCCAGGAAAGGCGAGCGGGAATAAACACAGAGCGAGCTGAAGTGGGGCCAGGGCTGGAGGCGCCGTGCCCAGCCCCAGCCCGGCACCCCGGGCTCCCAGCCCTGGCAGCATCCCCCCGCCCCCCCGAGGATGGGGTCTCCAGGACACGTCGGGGTGATGCTCCCGACGCGCCCCGGGGTGTGTCAGCAACGCTGGGATGAGGCCGAGCGAGGCCACCCAGGCTGCTGAGCGGCCGTGCCTCAGTTTCCCCTTGGCACAGGCCAGCGCTCGGGGAGCAGCGGGGCCGGGGCTGGTTTTGGGGATGGAGGAATGCCAAGTCAGCCCTGCAGGGAGGTCGGATGCGGAGCTGGGGCCGGGGGCGGTGGGTGGGGAGCGGGAATGTGCGGGGGCACGGGCTGCAGCCGCGGTCTCTCCGTGCAGGATGCTGCTGCGGGCCGCGGTGCTGGCGGTGCACGCCGGGCTCCTGGCTGCCCTCCAGCCCGGAGACCCCAACGTCTGCAGCTACTGGGAGAGGTAGGGCTGAGGGGGGACAGGGGAGGGGGACAGCGGCAGCGTGGCGTCTCCCAGGACCCACAGTCACCCCGAATTCCCCCCACCCGCAGCTTCACGGCGCTAGCGAAGGAGTCCTACACCAAACCCCACGTCGTGCCCTCCAGCGAGCCCTGCCCCGGGGGCCTGGGCCTCCCCCTGCCCTGCCCAAAGCAGAGGTGGGAGCACCCCAGCTCCCCAGAGCCCCTCGGGGACCCCAGGGTGTCCCGAGGGCCTTGGGGGGCTGGAGGGGGGTGTCCCACCCCAGGGTGTCCCCAAGGCCGTGAGGGGCTGGAGGGGGAATGTCCCACCCCAGGGTGTCCCCAAAGTTGTGAGGGGCTGGAGGGGGAATGTCCCACCCCAGGGTGTCCCCAGGGCCGTGGGGGGCTGGAGGGGGAATGTCCCACCCCAGGGTGTCCCCAAAGTTGTGAGGGGCTGGAGGGGGAATGTCCCACCCCAGGGTGTCCCCAGGGCCGTGAGGGGCTGGAGGGGGAATGTCCCACCCCAGGGTGTCCCCAAGGCTGTGAGGGGCTGGAGGGGGAATGTCCCACCCCAGGGTGGGACAAGGACAGTGAGGGGGCTGCAGGGGGGCTGGGGGAAGGGGGTGGCCTCAAGCTCAGGGGGGCTGTCCCCATGCCGGGTGTCCCCAAGCTCATGGAGGGGCTGCAGAGGGTCTGTCCCCAAGGCTGGGGGGCTGGAGAGGGGCTGTGCCAAGGGGGCATGGGGAGCTGAGGGGGGGTTATCCCAGTGCAGGGTGTCCCCAGAGCACTGGGAGGACTGGAGGGGGCTGTGCCCAGTGCCAGGGGGACTGGGAGGGCTGTCCCAGTGCAGGGTGTCCCCAAGGACACTGGGAGGACTGGGGGTGGACTGGGAGCACTGTCCCAGTGCAGGGTGTCCCCAGGGCACTGGGAGGACTGGAGGGGCTCTGGGAGGGCTGTCCCAATGTGGGGTGTCCCCAGAGCACTGGGAGGACTGGGGTTGGACTGGGAGGGCTGTCCCAGCACAGGGTGTCCCCAAGGGCACTGGGAGGACTGGGGGTGGACTGGGAGCGCTGTCCCAGTGCAGGGTGTCCCCAAGGGCAGGGGGACAGCACGGTCACCGTGTCCCCTGGTGGCACAGGGTGGTGTACCGCACTGAGTACCGCCAGGCCGTCCGCACCAGCTACCGGCGGCGCTACCAGTGCTGCCAGGGCTACTACGAGAGCCGGGACTCCTGCGTCCGTGAGTGGGGCCGGGGCTCCAGGGTGGCCCTGGGCCGTGTCCCCAGGGTGCAGAGTGTCCCCAGAGCTCCCTGAGGACGCTCTCTGCTCGGCCGTGTCCCCCCAGCTCACTGCAGCCAGGAGTGCGTCCACGGCCGCTGCGTGGCTCCCGAGCTGTGCCAGTGCGAGCCGGGCTGGCGCGGCCCCAGCTGCTCCAGCGGTGAGGGCTGGGGGCAGCTGGGCACAGCTGGGCACAGCTGGGCTGGGCACCCCCAGCCAGGGGTGGCAGATGGGGCGGTGGGCTGCCCTGGAGGGCTGGGCAGCCATGGTGGGGCACCCAGGGGGTTAATGGGGATGGGGTCGGGATGGAATTGGGGTGGGGAGTGCATGGGATGGGAATGGAGGTGGGATGGAGATGGGGGTGGGCTGGGAATGGCCTTGGGTGGGAAGAGAACGGGGTGGGCATGGGATGGGCACAGAGAATGGGATGGGTTGGAAGGGGAATGGAGAATGGGATGGGTTGGAAGGGGATGGAGAATGGGATGGAGAGGAAGAGGGAATGGGGACTGGGATGGGTTGGAATGGGGATGGAGGTTGGGATGGGTTGGAAAGGGGATGGAGAATGGGATGGAGAGGAAGAGAAGATGGAGAATGGGATGGTTTGGGATGGAGAAGAAGAGGGAATGGAGACTGGGATGAGCTGGAATGGGGATGGAGATTGGGATGGGTTGGAATGGGGATGGAGATTGGGATGTGGAGGAAGAGAGGATGGAGAATAGGATGGTTTGAGATGGAGATTGGGATGGGGAAGAAGAGGGGATGGAGACTGGGATGGGTTGGAATGGGGATGGAGGTTGGGATGGATTGGAATGGGGATGGAGAATGGGATGGGAAAGAAGAGAGGATGGAGAATGGGATGGTTTGGGATGGGGAGGAAGAGGGGACGGAGCTTGGGATGGGAATGGAGATAGGGATGATTTGGGATGGAGATTGGGATGGGGAGGAAGAGGGAATGGGAGCAGTGATAGGATGGCTGGGAATGGGGTAGGGGTAGAGATGGGAGGAGGGTGGGATGGGAACGTGGATGGAGATAGGAAAGGGACATGATGGGAATGGACATAGCATGAGGATGGGATGGCATGGTGACAAGATGGGGACTGAATGGGCATGGATGGAGGGCTGGCAATGACATGGATGGGATGGGACGGGACGGGACGGGACGGGATGGGATGGGACGGGACGGGACGGGAC